ACAGCTTGAACGACACAATGACAAGACGAAGAGACAAATTCCCTCCAATGTTCAGTGGTCCAACAAAACAAAACTACCCTCCAATCGAAGCGTTCCGACCGGCCCCGCCCTCGAGCCGAGAATGATGGACAGCTACCGTTGAATCCGCTCCTTCCAGGTAGAGGCTAAGAAACCAAAAAACATTAAAAATACAAAAGATACAACCCTGAAATGCAACTTTTTTGCATGGTTCTACCTCCTAACTGGCCCTGGTTTCCAAATATCATACTCAAATGAGGGCCACAATGCAAATAGCACCCAATAAGCCAATTGAATTTTGAATCATGTTGTCCTTTTGTGTGTTGTCAAGAAGCATTTGCGCAATTTTTGCGTTGTGGCAAAATAGAAACAAAGGCAGTCGGGCCGCAAAATCAGCCAACACCCTCGTCGACACGTCAGCAAAACGAAACAAAATACAAAATTTGGTTTCGCTACCTGCCTCGGCAATTTTCTATGTGTTTTTGTACTTTTTGGCTGTATTTTTCGTATTTGTTCGTATTGTTTTTATTTTTTGTATTTTTGTATTTTTTTGTAGTTTTTGTATTTGTGCTTTTTTTGTATTTTTGAAAAGTCGTATTTTATTTTAACAATACAGCTTTGTTTTCGAATTTTTTGGAAAATACAAAAACAAGGTCGTATTCTTCCCGTAAATTTTCAGCCTCGAACTGCGAACCGGCAAAACCCACCGGCAATCTTTTTGACAACCAACGAAACGTCGTCACGCTACCCGACAACCACGAGAGGCTGCTCCAAAGACAAGGGGGCCAGCTTCCCATCCCACCCATATCAATGCGTATCAAGTGGCAATTTACGTGCAAATTGCTTGCGTTTGTGCATTTTTGTTAGGGTCCTATTGTTGAAAAATACAAAAGTCAAAAGTGTATTTTTAAAAAATACAATTGGCATTTGTATTTTCCAATCGTATTTTTGGATTTTTTAAATTCTTTTAAGGCTTATAGGCTGTACCTGGATCCGGGGAACCAAAGCTACCGCTGTGTTTTCTCCATCATCCCTTCACAGCAGCTCAAAGGCTCCTGACACCTGGCTGGCGGTTGTGCCCGAGAGCGTCGGCGCAACCCCTGGCGGGTTGAGATATGCATCAAGTTCCTTGGGCACGACTTGATGGGACTCATTCCACGGCACCCCCAGCCAACGAGCATCGGACTCCTCCAGCAGGATCTCCACCGCCTCGATGATGGTGAAGGTTGGCCCATCGTGTGATCCATCGTCGCCAACAATGCTCCGATGCCTGTCAGACTAGCATCCGTCACGATGGCATAGTCCGGCAACTGCTCCTCCATGGGCTCCGTCCTCAATGCTAGCCTCTCCGGGTTCATTAAGAGGTTCATGAACCATTGCCTGGGAAGCTCTGGCCGTTTCACTGCAATGAGGCCCATCTTCAGTCGTTGGTCTGCCCTTCTCGTAGCCCGGCGCTTCTCCTCTTCTTCCGATCTCTTGGTGCCCGCCAGCACCGCGTACATGATTGATACCGCCCACCGGGCTCTTGGAAGGATGCCCGCAACCCATGACAATCTACCTGTGGTTTGTTGCGCTTCCCTCATGCTCACCATTCCCTTCTTCTCCCAGCTCGCCAAAACCTCTCGAATCTCCGAGATCGTCTTCTTGGGGGCCATGAGCTTGATCACCTCCTCCGCTTGCGCCACCTCGAACATGACTCCAATCCAGGTGCGCTGACTTCTTCTGGACCCTTTGCGCCATGCCAGATTGATGCCCAGCGCTCTTGCTGTGTAGAGCAGCAGCGCCAGGTTCCTGTTCCTTCAGGAGGTCGGGCCACGTAGGATGAACATCGGATCGTCCATGTACAGTTGGCTCTGCATCTCCGATGGAGCAATCAACGATTGCCAGAGACGCGCCAAGCGCGCCGCAAACCTGCCCATGAGGAGGGGAGCCCCGCGGAATCCGAACAACATGGCCACCCACATCCCACATAAATGTCTCCAACTGATGCACTCCTGGGCTCAAGCAGTTGGCAAACTCAGAGGGATGTACTAGAAGCCCTCTGAGCGGTCTTGGTCCAGCTCCCATTCCTCATCCCGTGCTTTGGTCACCGTGCGATCCCTCGTCCTCCACAAGAAACGAAAGCAGTCAATCACGTCTACTACTGTCGGTAGGACGATCCTCTCTGGGGTCCGACAGCGAGCTTTGCCGCCTGAGCGAAGCAAATCGATGATGATTCGCCGTTTCACTGCGCCGTTCTCTCTTGTTTTGATCAACAGCGCCAGCTTGGAGACTGTTCCCCTCTCATGCATCTCGCCATCCACTTTTGTCGGGGGAATCACCGCAAAGCCCTCCCCTACCAATCTTCCCAACTCCATTTTGGCTTGCTCCGGTTCGTCCGTGAAGCTCTTGTAATTGGTGACCACGCCCAATTGCTCCGCCAACTCGGGCGTATCTTCCATCTCCTGCTCCGGGTCATCCGACAATGGGAAGACGCCATCCAACACCATGCCAAGGGGTACCCCTTTGCGAATCCATTCCACCAGGTGCTTCTCGGGGGCCCCGGCTGCTCGCAACCATGCGTTCCACAGCTCTGACTACATCCGTGAAGGTTCGAGTCTGAAAGAAATGCTTCAACACCCCCTTCCAATCATCTCCACGTCCATGTCCGGTCTGCAGTCCGCTGACCCGTAGTTGCGAGCAATGTCCAAGGCCTTGGGGTAGTCTGCGATGAAGCGATCCCAGATTCGCGCCACGTCCGCCCCAACCTGCCTCAGCCTTGACAGCTTCTCCAGTGCTCGCCCTGGGTTTCTCATGCCCCCAATGAACCTTTCATTCTTTTCTTCTCTCCTTGCCTTCTTTGACATTCCCAGTTGCGGCCTGATGTCATGTGCGGTGCTCCTTCACCTGCAGCATGCGCCTCCAGTACTCCAGTTGCAGTGTTCGCTAAAACGCCGTGATGATCAACCTGCAGTACTCCTCGCACAACTGCTTTGGATACTGAGCTGCTGCTGAAGTCTTCTTTGATCCAATCAGGGGTTCATGCCAAATCCGTTGCCCACACATACACGGCTTGCTCAACTATGGAATTTTCCTTGCAATCAGGGTTCCATGGACATCTGGGGTTCCATTAGATTTCCTTGGAATTGCAATCAGCTGTGACAGTGACAATGATGTGGGAGTTCACTGCCACTATCAATATTATCTTTGGAATTGCAATGGCATGTGACCATGAAACTTGAACCAGCTTTGGGTCTAAGCTTAAGTTTGGAACTCTGAAAGGGGCGCAGCCACACGATGTGTGGCTTGGCGGTACTTTTTTGGCGTTGTTTATCGTCGTTTCTTTTGGGGCATGCTTTTCGCAGAAGCATTGATTGGTGTTTTTTGTGATGGGGTGGAGGCCATCGCTAGTAGGTTGGAGGCCATCGCTACTTAGTAAGTTGGAGGCCATCGCTATTAGGTTGGAGGCGATCGCTATGGTTGGGGGGACATGCTGAGATTGGTGTGTGTTATTTTGTGCAGTGCCATTTTTTGGGGCCCGGCGCCAGCGGCGCCGCTCGGATTTCATGCCATTGCCGGCTTTGACCCAGCTGTCTGGCGCCAAGTGATTGACAGCGTTTCTAACCAAGACCAAGATCATAAAAACTATGTTTTGAGGTCTGACGAGGAAGAAGACGTGGGACCTGCAGTCGCCATTGACGCGAAGGCTTCAAAATGCTTGTAAGTCGTGTGATCGCCGCGCAAGTTTTAATCAGAGACTTTTTTGGCAGGATTGTCAAACCAAATCCCATGCGTTTGATTAATGTTGTTTGGCATTGTTTGGTCTTTGAGTGTTTTGGCGAGGCCATGACAGTGGGTCAGGACGCTAAGAACAAACGCCAGAAATTGGCGCCGAAGGCGGGCACATGCCATGCAATGCTTTTAGTCTGGGCCTCTGAGTGAGCAAGCTCAGTAGACCATCAATCAGTCAATATGGCAGGCCAAGAAGGTGTTCAAGATCAAGCCGACCATCCAGAAGCTGAAGCCAACAGCTCCACCCGCGACGTGCCGATGGATGGCCAAGAGCGTGTACAAAGCTACTGGGAAGGTGCTCGGTTCCATTTTTGGTTTGCCATCGGAATACATTTTTCAGAAGTGAGTTAAAAACATTGCGCCAGTTGCCTCGGCATGGTTTGATCGCTGGGAAGTTCGTGCACGGGTGCAACATCCGACTTCCGAAAACTGAGAACTTGAAGTTGAAGTGCGCGCTGACCCCGGTTCTGAATTCTTTTAGCAAAACTTGGTTGGGCTGACCGTCACTCAGGTCAGCAGACAGAAGCCAGGAACTAAGGCCAACGGAGCAGAGGCCAGAAGTGTTGTTTCTTAAAGCAGTTAGATGGCGTGTTTCACCTGCTACGTAGATCTGGACCGGCAGCAAGATATTCCGTCGCTACAGCACAATACGTCTTGTACTGAGCAGAGGAGTTTGGCCCCTTCAGTTCAATCCCTTTTAAGCTGAGGGTGCTTTTCAGCTTCCACGACTGTGACACGCACTGCTGTTTCGGCCCGTGGTATTTCTGCTCAGAGCTGAGTAGGCTAGCTTTGCAATTGTTTTGAAATCAGTTTCCAACATGCTCAAGTCTGTCCGGCCCAGGATCTTGCCAACCAGATTGCTTTTAGCCAAGACTATGTTGCTTTGAAGCGGCAAAGGGGTGAGCCTGTTGGGAAGTATTTATCGGTACCAACTGCTGAGTGGATGTCAGGCCTTTGCTGTAAGCAGTGTGAATTGCAATGGATGAGCTGTTTGCAAAATTGTCAACTGGAGTAGCGCCACTCACCAAATCACTCCACTTGGCAGGTTTTCCACTTGGGTGGACCGAGCCATTTCCGAACACGGTCAAAAAAGAGACCCTTTTGGAGATGTTTCCCGAGGGCAAGGAGCAAAGCCGCTATATCTAAGTCATGGACTGAGAACAGCGTTCTGCAGGACCCGTTGCCGGCTATTTCCTGCTTCACCGGGATTGGGGGCTTGGAATTGGGGATGCGGAGGCGTGGTGATGGCTTGTTGATTTCAAGTCATGCAGTGGCAGTCACAAGTTTGGGGCTTGAAGCTTTTAACTTCTTAAAAAGCCGAAGCCATTCGAACCAGGCTTACGACAGTAAGTGAGCTAAGAGGGTTGAAAACCAAAGGGCGCATGCCATGTCGTCTGTCTCTGACGTGGTTACGGTGCGGACCGTCGGCGTAAACCAAGTCAAGCCGCTTGGTTCCATCCGCGCTGTGTTTGTGAATATATTGTTGTGAGCGGTCTCCAAACAATGTCGTGTAAAATGAAAACTTAGCAGTAGATTGAGATGGTCAAGATCCACATTGGACGTGAACCTCACTGAGGGTCTTGCGTGGTACCGTTTTGTGGTGCCGCTGGAAAGACTCGCTGTAGCTTGGCCGTGGATGCTGTTTTCACATAACAAATAGACATTTCAATCTGCGCAAGGAAGAGCGATAGTTTTCTACTGCGACTGCAATAATGTTTTCTGTGGATCGAGGTGGGTTTGGAAACAATCTCGGTGGGAGGAGTGCTCGGAGTGTGATTTCCCGGTGTCAACAGCTGAAAGCCAGCCGACAGACTTTGCCTCAGACCCAACAGTCCGAGCTTTATTCCAATCATTTATTGTGCGTTGTGTGTCTCTTTTTGTTTTGAAGAATATAGACATATATACATACCCTAAACCGTAAACATATATTGATCTATCTATATATATATATATATTTTGTTACATATATATATATATATGTAGTATATTTCGATGTTCGGAGATTCACAGGTGAAAAATAGATATAATCTAGAGGTAGATTCTTCGGATCCCGGCCATGAGGTTCGAGGGAAAAAAGCTATGACACCTGACACTTTCGGGATAGACACCGACCAGCGCCAACCAAAGCGTGTGGCTGTGAGCCGCTGAGAAGAAGGAAATCAACATTGGTTTTCTTTTTCAGTGATGCTATTCATTCCACGATTCTTCTCATTGGGTTGGTCACTCGAGGATTCATGATCAAGCTTGAACGGATTCAATCGACTTCAATCAGCAATTGATTTCTGTTGCAGGGCGTTTAGGACGGTGGAGATGGCCGGGGTCACAGGTCACCTTTAAATTCAGTGGGTTTGAACGCGGGTCTTTTTCTTCAGGTCGAGCGCAACGAGTTTTGCAGGGCCGTTCTCAAAGCGAGACAAGCCGAAGGGAGCCTCCCAAGATGTGAGATTTTGGAAGACGTGCGTGACTACAAGCCAACTTCTCAGGCAGCCCTGGGGGCTGCTGCTCTCCTTGGAGGCTTCCCTTGCCAAGCCTCCTTCTCAGCGGTGATCGCGCCGTGTTTGTGTAACTTTCACCCGTTGCTTCCTCAGGGCGTGTCGGTGGCGGGCCATCAACAGGGCCTCCACGATCCACGCTCGTTCCTCGTTGCGGAGCTCTTCAGGATCTTCGACTCCATGCCTAAAGGGTCGCAGCCTTTCAGACCAGTTTGTAATTTTGATTGTTGATTGCTGCAGCAGGCGTTTGATGCTCCTGGAGAACGTCTCAGCCCTGTTGAGCACAGAGGAGAACTGTCGACGCTTGATGCACTTCATTGTGCAGGCCATGGTTTTGACGTGTGTGGTTTTCAACCTGACAGGACCTGAAAGGCTCTCACATGCCAAAATCACTGAATTGGATTCATATTTTCAGGCTTCTGTGAAGTTTGTCAGTTTCTATTTCGACAGCGTTCTAGCACCCTGCAGGAACTTCGCAAACGAGAGATGCAGGTGTACTGGGTGACCCTCAGTCTGAGCAACTGTGGCTTCCAAGCCTTGGCCTTGGTCGTTGATTTCTGGACCGTGATGATATTCAAAGGACGTGTGCAAAACATTGCTATATGTATTTATGTCTTGGTTTGCTAGGCCGGAAGATGCCGCGTCTTCCTGCTGGCGATGCGCAAAGGGGTCAAGGAACTGTGTTGTCTGGTTGTCAGCAACAAGGTGGTGTAGCTTCAGCTTAGTGTTGTGCAAACATTAGAGTACCTTGTCAGTGTTGGTTGATGTCCGCCGGCAGGAGGTCTTCTCTGACAATGTCAAGATGTCCCTGGACTTGCCGCAGGCCGGGTGGAACCACCAAAACAAGGTGAACTTCAGTTCATGGCTGTCAATGGAGCAAACAGACATGGACAAGAAACGGCTTCAAACCTTGGGCAATTGCGTCGTCCCCGCAATGGGCGCGCGTGCTCTGTCCGAGTTGGTCAGAATGATGGAGGCTGCTTGAGCACCATGACCATATATAATTTGATTTGGAACGTTTGTTTGTTGCTCCTATTGCGAAGGTGTTCCATTTCCTGTTTTTGCTCAAAGCCTGTGTTGTCTGCCCACATCATGTGTGGATGCTTTTGGAGTCAGTGTGATAACACTGAGTGGCTCCTAATTCAGGATTGCTTTGGTCAGTTCAAGCAACCATAACCTATAGTAACCTTTTGATTCGATGATTGACGTACTTCCAAGAGGAGTATTGTTCTTCCAAGGTTGTCAACTTGACAAAAGTTCATTGGTTCAACTGGTTGCTAAATTCGGAGTGACCCCCTTTGACAGTACTACCAGGGATCGCCCTTCGTGTTAGAGATCCGAGGCTGTCAAAAATGGTTGCTGAGGGGTCACGGCCTTTTTTGCCACCGCGTTGTAGTTTCCACCATTGGCGGCGAACGTGGATCAAGAACCGCTGGAGCTGTTTTGGTTTGGACTATATATTCGAAAAAAAGGGCTAGTGTCTACAGCAGCAAAAGAAGCCTGTTTGACTTCAGTGACCAAGTTCAGATAATTGTTTACTACTTCGTTTAGGGCCCGGTTTTCCTTTGTTTGACCATGTCGCTCGTTAACGAAGTGGTGAACAACATGAGTTTTGCTGCCGACGCCTCTCCGTGGCACCCCAACGCTACACAAACGACGGCGACCAGATTTGAGTCATTCAATGAGTTTGTCGAGTGTTTGGGGGTAGGGTTTTGGGAGACTGGAGACGTTCCTGCAACCATGGTCTTCTACATAGATGAGTTCAGTCGTGGCCGAGCACTTCTCAATGTTGAGTTGGAGGACATCTCAAAGCTTGAGGAAGTTGTCCGCAGAACCCGTCTGGTTCTGTCACCATGGCTTCTGTCAGAAAGCCAGTTGACCGACATACATTTCGTGTCTCCCCAGCCTTCCTCTGACCAGCGTGCTGGTGGAGAGGTGTATCTTTTGGTGGATGGCAGGCCAGAACTACCTACTTGCCCAATAATGGTGGTCACCAAAAGTGTCTTTAGGCGTCACAGCGGGCCTGAATTAAGTGTGAACTTCGACTTTGCAGCTGCGAGGGTCCCATTTACTGTGACCATGGAGACACTTGTAGAGCTTCACAATGCTGTTCAAGCTTACAGCCGTCATCAATGTGACGTCGAAGTCTCTATCCTTGGGAAGAAACTGTGGCCGGGGCAAAGCGTTGTTGTGCGTGCTGGCTTGAGGGTAGACGTTGTTATCCAGTTCCACACCACTCAGCCTTCTCCTCCAACAGATTTTGGGGGGGGCCGGGGCGCCAAGTTGATTTCTTTTAAATCAAGACAGCGCGTGGTCGACTAAGCCGGTTCAGAGATGATATAGTCAGGTTTCTGGTTTCGTTCAACGATGTGTGCCCAAGTAAATTAAAAAACATCTATATATATATATATATATAAAGCGCCGGGTTAACCCTGGGCTGAGGCCTACGGCGTCGAAGTTGTCGAAGTATGAGTGGCGTTGCTTGCTGCTTTGCGAGGAGCGCCAGGCTTTCTTCATCGACGGCCAACCTTCAGTTTTACCCAATTCGTTCTACGCCCAACAAGTCTTGAAACTAACTTTGTAAGGTTTTGCTCCCACTATGCCTACCAAACCCCGGGCAAAACTACACCAGGACAGCGGCGTTCCGAGCTTGCGATGTGGGCGGATTTTGAATTCTGGAGGAGGCGTGATTCAATCCGATTTTTTCATGAAACGGGGGCTTCCGCAGATCGAGCGTCGAGCAAGCTTTTTATGCGTGAAATTTCAAAGAGGAGAGAAGTAAGTTCGCAAAGTCACCTTATATGAACGAGAGACAGACACAGAGAGAGAGAGAGAGGGAGAGTGAGAGTGAGTCGGAAGAAGTTGTGGTTCTGTTGAGCTTGCAGAGCGCAGCCATTGTTCTTATTGGGTTCAAGCTGTCAAACAAACAATAGTTCATGTTTATGGACTATATTGAAAAGTTGGAACGTGATCTTACCTGGTAATCTTACCTTCTTGTTCTTCTTTTGTTCAATATTTCTCTTCAATCTTTGTAGATTTGCTGTGCCGCCAGATTCATTGCTCCAGCAATGGATGTACGTGTTGGAATGAATTCCATTGCTTGTTCTTGATGCCAATCCCGCCTGTCATCGACTTGAGTGACGAGGAATGTCCAAGTGAGGGCCAAGATGCCCAACTGCTGCCTTCTTTGTGGCGCAAGAAGCGAAAGCGGCAGACTGACGGCCCTCCTCCCCGGGAAACCATGGAGTCACAGCTCAAAGTGCTGTTAGGGAAGCGATGCGTGTCATGCAGGCACAACTGCATGCAAAAATTTAGCGAACCGGCGAAGTTTGAAACTTTAGTTGAGTTCAAGCGGGACTGGCTGGCTTTGCACAAGCTAGACCAAGATCAGGCTGTACCTTGGGTTCGACAACTTCAGGATTTTGTTGGGAGAAGCACTTTTTGGGGGAAACCAAGCCCCAACCTTGAGAGCATTTGCTTTAGGGCGCCCTCTGAAATCCCACGATAGATTTCGACAAGAGACTTGGAAATCGGTGTTTAGCACCCCGCGAAACAATCGCTTTGCAAGGTATTTGACCGGATCCGCCAGACATTGCTGGGACGAGCAGGAGATGAATGCGCTAGCTGGATCATTCTGGGCACTCAAGTCTGCCTGCGCTCCTGGAAGCGACTACACGGAGTAGGTGCGCCGGAGCAATTGGTTTTCCAATGGGAGGGGGTCTTGACAGGGTTGGTCTAAACGAAATCCATGCGTGGGGTGATGTGGCAGTTGAAAATGATTCTGCAAGCCATACATTTTCGTGTCAACTAGTAGGCCTGTTGAGTGGCTGGTTCAATCCCAACGGCAGGGAACGCTCGATTTGACAAGTTGCGAGCTGCTGCAGAAAATGGTAGCATTGTACCACCAGTAGATCTACGTTACTTGAAGAAGGGTCAGCCCGTGCAAGATCGCCATGGCGATTGTGCTCGAGGAAGAATTGTATCATTCTTGGAAAGTGTTTACCATGGGCAGGCAGAGACCCTTCCAGATGTCCGTGACAACATTGTGGACGTGGACATGAAGGTGATAGATGTTCAGGTGGTTGCAGATCCGTACGTTGACGCATTGAATGCAGCCAATCCAGCTACAGAGCTTCCTTCCAAGAAGGAAGGCAGAAAACAGCATCAGAGATTGAAGAACAAATCAGTCCAGGTGAACACGGATCGTTCCCAACTTGAAGAGCGATTTCTGCCACCTGGCACTATGATGGATTATTATGAGCTGATGAAAGCAGCCGAACCAGATCTCCCTCCAGTAAGCTTCAGCAGCTTTTGGAGGACGTGGAAATCGGAGTTCACACACTTAAAGTTTAGAGCAGCTTCATCACACGCGGTTTGCGCTATATGCCTCAAACACAAGATGTGGATACAAGAGATGAGCGGGCACGCTCGTGCGCGGACCAAGCAACGCGAGTTGTACTCCAAGCATTTGCAGAGCCAATATATGGATCGGGTCGAATACTGGACCCTCAGATCATCGGCGCGTTTAAGGACCTCCCTCGTGGTGATGATGATTGACAGCTGTGATCAAGCAAAATTTTGCTACCCCAGGGGCATGGTCTACCAATCGAAAGAGTTGGCGTCTTTGATCCGACCGAGGGCCCACATCACGGCCATCCTGGTCCACGGGAGGTTTCTTCTGTTCGGGGTCTCGAAGCACAATTTCCCCAAAAATTCATCCACGATGACGGAACTGATTTCGCACGCCTTAACTCTGGTGCAACGAGAAGTCGGTGATATTTCAGGAATTTCTTTGTCGGTACAAGCCGACAACACCACACGTGAAATGAAGAATAACACGTTGTTGAAGTGGATGAGCTCAATGGTCAGCAACCGTGCTCTTGTATTGATTGCGTAAAGTTTCACCGCGTTCTATTTTGCTTGTTTTGTTTGTGTTGCGGTGGATTGTATGTGAAAATCAACTTTTTGCCAAGCGCAAGGAGTCATCGCCAATTGTGCTCTCCGGTGCCTGCGCACCGGGCACAGCCATGAGGATTTGGACCAAATCTTCGGAGTTTTATGCAGGTATTTAGTTCGGAAGGCCAAACACGCTGTCACGCCGGATGACTTTGCGGCCCACATCCGGACGTGGATGGAGACTAGCTTGGAACGACCTTACGAACCGGGTCGACATGTTGTCCTGATGGACCAATCGCGTGATTGGAGTTTTGGATGGAAGCGCTGCAATTTGTTTATTTGTTGCGCATTGTAGTTCGTTTTCTTTGTTTGCTTTTCGTTTGGGCCTGTTTTCGGGCCGGACACTCTGCAGGAAGGGCTTTCTTAGCGAAGCAGTGCCGGTCGCTCTGAGTGGCATTGCAGGGCCAGGTGCCCCACACGTTTTCCAGTTCGACCGCCGCGAGTCTTTGGGCTGCTTGGTTTTGAGATAATCGCACACGTCACATTTTGTCGTTGCTTGGCCGGCCAGAGAACGTGCCGTGATGCAAGAGATCCCGAAATCGGTGTTCATCTGAACCCCTGGTGAGGGGTCTAGATGAACACCGGTGTGTTGCATCGCGGCCCCCGTTGCCAAGGAAAGTCAAATAAATTTCAATTCTCAACGCGCGAAGCTGCCAGCTTATTAACCAAGATTCATGGGTTGGGGCCGCCCAGATTTCGGACAAAGTGCTTCAACAAAATGCAACCGCCCCTGCTCTCTCAATCGAGGATCCGATTTCAGCCCACAAGATGAGTTCTGGAGCTTGCAGCCTCAGCCTGGTGATGTGATTGTGCGGACAAAGCAATATATGGCGTCCCCAAAGTGGGAGACTTGTCATGTCCATTTGCCTCGGGCTGTTGCGCAAGTGAGGGTGCCTCTGGGTTTGCCAAATGCCATTGCGCCTCGCAATCCCATCCCAGCGGACTACAAGGATCACATTCTCAAGTTCATCCCTTCCTTGGAGCAGTACAAGCTTTACAGAGCAGCGGAGCATTTGAAATCTTGGGTGC